CAAAATGAAAGCACTGTTTTCCAGCGCTTGTTTTCCAGGCAGGCTTGGAGGGGAGAGCAGGGGCTGATGTGGGATGCAGGAGGAATGCAGGACGCAGGAAGAAAAATTATTCTTATCAACAGAGTTCAACCCAGGAGAGCTGAGATATGCAAAAGGCTCAAGCTAATAAGCTGAGCAAACAGTACTTAGAGGGCCGCGGCTGGGCACAATTATGCAATGCTGGTTTATTTGCTGCTGCAGGTTTGATGGAAGAAAGCCCAGGTGGCAGGTGAGGAGCTTGGGGCCCAGCACCTCGCTCAGGGCCGTGTCCCCGGCGTGGGGCTGCGGGTCTCCCGGCACACCCACGACTGGAAGGGATTTAAACCCATTATTAAGGAATTGCACAATTATTGCAATGTTCAGAACAAAACTCTCAAGACATTTACTCATGCCCTGAACTATTCTGTTTTCCGTACCCTACAGCCTACTGGGAAGCGCAGTGGATGAGCTAATGCCCTGGCTTCTGCTGCATCAACCCCGAGCCAGGACTTTCACTACAAAGAGTGACCGTGGTTCCCGGCTGGAATACAACACATGAAACAGCTGTGGGATGGACCGTATGCGCCTTCCAGCAGGGAAAAGAGAAGTACCACTGAGCTGTCAAGGGATGCAGGGCGGACCCAAGGAGCTGCTGCACCGATCCGGCAGCTCCACAGCACGGGTGTCAACGTGCCCCGGGCTCTTGGTGGCTGTGGAAAGCCACGGGGGAGAGGCCACAGCCGGCAGAGAAAGGGATGTGGGGAGGTTGATTCTGGGGCAGTCATTACATGTGGGTGTTTCTGTGGCCCCTTTTCCCCAGAGCATTTTCTCAGCGTAATTTGGGACAGCATCTGTCCCGTGAGTTGGTGATTGCAATTAGCCCAGCATCACAGGGGATGCTCTGGGTGTCCCCAGTCCTGTCCCCGTCCCCACGTGCGTTCACAGCCCCGTGCCTCCCCGAGCGGAGCCGCTATTCCCACCAGACCGCGTTACCCACCCCAGGCTT